TTACACAGAGAAATTTATTACTCAATTCAAAACAACAGAAAAAAATGATAGGTCACCATACTCGTTTGCGAGAAAATGACGATCTACCTCTATGGCGAGATCCAGCTGTAAAGAAAAAGCCGCCATTTTCTAATGCGCGCGCGCTAATCACGCGTAAAATTATCCGCAGTAGGGATGCGCAATGCAATACTGGGGAATAACCTACTGTACTTTTTTGATAACAACAACAAAATGATTTTTGTCCAATTTATTTGATCAGTAGAAATCGAGTATAGGTATAAGATGACAATGCTGCACACCATACAAAATTTTAAAAAAAAATCTTATCAATTGTTTGAACAACACTGCGACAGAAACGTTTATTTCCAGTCAACTTAATGTCCAAAACGATTAAGTGATGTGGGGTTACAAAACACCCCTGGTCAACCCTGGCAAAGAAGGAACAAGACATTCCATGTCATTTTGAGTTACTGATTTTCTCGTTCAACTATTAGACGGTGGCTCCAGCAAACCAGACTTTTCTGGCAATCTTCACCTTGGTGTTTACCTCTTCACCATTCATTCCGACGAATGTTATGTCGTATTTGTTTTCCGTCAGAGGATCCTGGACTTCTCCACTTGCTATCACTGGTGAGCCAGGAATGGCTGGAAACTCGACTTCGGTTCCATATCTGAGCAACAGGTCATCAACTTCCTCGCTGCCAACGCCTTCAGGAGGGCCATCCAGTTGGACCACCTTTTAAGACAGTTATAAAGAAATGTAGAATTTAGTTTCACCACTTCTGTGTCTAACCCTGATTTTTACTGTCGTTTGCTGGATACCCTAAGTGCCAAAGTTTCATAGACGGAGTCGCATAACTTGTTTACATCTTTGTTGCCACCCAATTCAGACCACGTGATGATAATTATTGGAGGTTACAAATGTGTATGCAGTTTGCCACACGTAACTGATTGCATGGGAATATGTACAAACAGAACAATTGTAACCTCCCCAATAAGTAATCACATGATCTAAATTGGGTGGCAACAAGCATGTTAACACGTTAGCCGAATCCGTCTATTGAAGTGAGGCCATAAGGTTGAACTACTTGCAAAGAAAGGTGGTATGTGTAATCAATTACTGGACGAGTACTCTAAGCATAAGAGCCCGGCTATCCAAGTATATCAAGGACCGTTCAGGAAAAACCTTTCCTAACAAGATTAAATGGTATAATGGCATAATGGCAAGGCGGCTCTGCCTGCACTAAGCTAAAAGAGTTCTTGATACCAATATATTTGCTTGGGAACCCGACACGTAATCGCGAAGCAGTTCCCAGACGTTTATAGACATGCTGTTTAAGTCTGGTAAAATTTCAGTTCTTTTCTGCTATCTCGATCTCAATCCCAACTTTTTCAATAATATACATGTATCTGTGCAATAATCATTTATCAATACCTGAAAGAAATCCGGGCTTTTGGTGGGAATGTGGAACAAGAACACACTCTTCTTGTCGCCGTACATGAAGTAGGTACTGGCATCAGGATAGTCACCTTTATCAAAATGCTGGTAACGTGCCACATCCGCGATCTTCATCTTCACAGTCATGAAAGGATTGTTGTCGTTGTCAGATGGCAGGCCTACGAAGCAGTCGAACTTTTCCCTCTCGCCAGCGTACTCAGACTTTTCGAAGAAGACGTCGTGGTGCTTGTCCATTTTGCTTCTGAACACAATGGGTTGGGGCTCTTCACTCGACCGCAGCAGCTTCTCTTGCATTGCGATATACTTCTCGGCATCTTTTTCATGGAGGAATTGTAATTTTACCACGGTGTCATACTGCTTCGCCACGTCATTGAAGTCTCCAACATAAGAGGCAATCACCTCGTTCTTTTGATTGACAACTCCGGTGCTGACAAAGTTGTGGAGTGCTTTGGGATCAGTAACCTAAAATGAAGATCATTGAAACCAAAACAAATCTTTCATTTACTCTCTAAAGTTAAACAGTCTGTCTTAGCACTATAACTGAGTCACTTGTTAATTCGAGCTAGTGAAAGGATAAAACTCGAAATTAAAATGTTATGATCTAAAACGGAGGTCAATAGTCACTCAAACTTTTGTTTGACTCAACAGAAAAAAAGAAGTACAATTAGTATTAAAGACGAAATCTCCTAGCTTCGGCAGTTTTCGAACAATCTAAATTCTGAATAGGCCCAGGAGTTCAAACTCCTTGCAGTGAGATTTGCATAACGCTGGAGGAGATAAGCTTAATTGTAACTCCTCTCGTTATTTCCAATTATAGCAGTAAACTGTAATTGACCAAGAAGAGTTTATGTTGGTTTCCTTCACCTTTTTGATAAATTAGCATTCTGACCTGTTAAGTAAATCAACTTGAACAAGAATCACAAGAAGTTCATGTTTGTAAGTCTGTTCATTTGCAGGAGCAGGCATCCCATCTTTGACCCTCGATCGACACTCGATCGACATTTCGATCAACACTTCTCGATCGATATTCGGTCGAGTGTTGATCGAGATGTCGATCGAGATGTCGATGTCGATCGAGATGTCAATCAAGGGTGGATCGATGGTCAAAGATGGGATAGAAAGATCCGGGTTTCGAATTCGGGCCGTTATGGTCGGCATTTGGGAGTGTTTTAGGGGAAGATTATTAAAAGTCTGTGTTAGCCCGGGGCCCATCCAGTGGTGCTTGTGCCGGTTTCTGAAGCATGAAGAGACTAGGACTATTTCTTCAATCGCCCTACTGTGTGGGATGCTAGTCCAGGGTTATCCTCCAGCATCAAGTTCGTCGATAGGAAGCAGTAAATTGCCGAGGTAAACGGTAACGCGTCGGACGAACTTAATGTACCATTACATTAAGAGGGAGAAACAGTACTATTTATTCGTTTTACTGGTTTAATGTTGTTCAACACATCGTACATTTTCGTCACTACCCGACACAACAACTTACCGTTCCAATGGCACACAAGATACTGTTCCTCATGATGGCAGCCATGTCGTCCATAAACTCCATGGAGGTGGCCCAGGGGTCCATGCAAGTAGTGATGATGTATTTGACAGGTGTCTCGTTGTTGGAATGTAACTAAGCCGACCAAGGTGAAAAGTAGAAGTAAGTGAAAGTGGAAAGAATGCAATAAACGAGAAATACATGCCAGATAATTAAGGATGACTAATGAATTGTAATTTGTGGTCATAAAAAGCTAGAACTAGGTTTCTATAACCTTGTGGATTTCTTACTGCTGTAAAAAATTTTCGTTGACTGTGGGGCTATAGATGCAGAGTTCCGTACATCTACTTCCACTTACCCCCAGTCTTTCCTTGAAATTCTTCACTGCAGCGCTGTGTTTGTGTGGAACTAGACTTGATGATGTGACAATCATTGGAATGCGATGGGCGGTCTGTTCACTTGATGTGTGTGCGAGATCCTGGAAAAGCGCCAAGTTGATTTCATTGCATTTTTCGACGTTTTTGTTTCCTTTCAGGTTTACGGAAAAGCAAGGTATCATAGTGTCCGGGCCCACTTCCTTGAGGTAATCCATAGCTTCCTTGTCCTGAAAACAAAAGGCACAATATTACACGGTAATTCATTGTAAGGCACCTGAATCAAGGGTGGTAAACTTCTTAATAAGGTTCAAGAAGAAGAAGAATCCGAGTACCCTTTGGATTCTCACGAACCTGGACGCCGCCTTTTATTCGAAAATCACCATCATTAGAATTTCGGCCTCAATCGTTAACAGGTCTCCCAATATATGCGTGGTATTTTATTTCTCACATATCCACTACTCTGCCGACTTATTATGGATGATTACAATTTTCATGCAAATGCAAAAAGTTCACCAAGAAAGGAATTTTTTTAAGGAAACGAACGTCAACAGAGACCCAAGAGAATCTGCGGTCCTAATTCCCACCGGGGTCAAAGGCTTTTTGAACCCCCACTTGGGTAATCTATTTTTCCATTGTGTACTATTTCTGGGGTAAGCAGCCCAGCAGCCAGCTGGGAAATTTCGTGGACGCAATTTCGCTTTTTAAAGTGTTCAAAAACCTTGTACCAGAAAAACTTTAAGTATATTACAGTCCTTTTGTATTTTCCAAGAGCTAAAGACATAAATAGTTTTCTGAAATACCACCAAAAACAATTCTCATGGGTACTCGAGAAAATATATTTCAAAGTTAAGAGAAATTGTGCAAACACAGGTTAAATTTCATTATCAGTTTCATTTCACCAGTACTTTCAAGCGTTTCAAATGCACTTCAAAAGTTGTTTTCGACATCTGGTGTTGTTAGAAATGATTTCTTTTGAGATATTTAAAGCAGTCGCACAGAAGTTTGTAATACAATGTAAATAATACTAGTACAAAGTTTTTGTCCACTTCTTAGCTTGCTTGAACCTCTGGTGGATTCCCTCTTGATATATCGTTTTAATATTAATTTTGGGCTTGACACAAGCACTTACCTGAGTAAGTTCTTCGTTGCTTCTTCCCAGAATACTTTTTCTGATGAATTTCATCTGCTCTTTCCGGGACATATTCTTGTACTTTTTGGGAAGAGGCTTAGTTGTTTCAATGACAAAGTTATCATCTTTCTCTGCTAGTGTTACCCACAGGCAATACATTATCTTGGCGGTGAACATGCACTCAGCCAGAATACGACCGTATCCATGCCTGTCAAGTCCAATGACCTATAGATAATTTGATATGAGAGAAGAATACGTGAAGTGACACATGATTATCATTGTAACTAGTTCACTGAATTTCCTTGTAACCCCTCTTACTAGGGGTTCTGGTTGTAACACGAATTAGCGCAAGGTAAGGGCAAGAATTTTCAGTGAGGCATCAATCTTAACGAGGAAAATGTTACGAGATAGCAAATGGAAAATTATTAACAAGTAAGGAAGTTTGTGTTTGGACATATCGACATCTGGAATATCCAGCTACGCAAAAAAATTTATGACAAGTATAACCCACTGTAAATATTGCTTTTATAACCATTTCTTGTAGATTGGCCAGCAGAATAAGTGGGCAAAGGCGTAGGCAATTGCAAATTTAACCTGGCAATGCTTTCGGGGGAAGGGTAGGGCTGGAGGGGATAGAGTATGATGACCTAACAGGAGATGGGAGATAGCAATGCTTCGAGGTTCTTCATAGGTACGTTTAGGTATTTACGTTTCGAATGGGATTTAGTTTTTATAGAAATTTCCTTCTTTTACTTACCCTTACAATCATACATTAAAAAACACTAGCTTTAAGTTAGCTATTTACCCTGTTTGCCAGCATAACCCCTGCAGCTGCAGCGCCAGGCTTGGATCCTTCGATGCCAATATCACCCAGAGTCATGTCACCATGGTAATAGACCACAGTGGTGGTGATTTGAAGAAAAGTATTCATGGTTTTGTCCCTGTAACACAGTGCTCCAGCGGGGTAGGGACAAAAGCCAGACTTGTGTGGATCAATGGTGATGGTATCACACTGGTTCATGGCTGATATCTGCTTGTGGACAAAGGAACTCAGATACAGTTCAGGGACAAATCCTTCTTCCTCCTCTTGCTCCATGTTGCCTTTAAAACGCTTGCGAAGCATACTGCAGAAGTATCCTCCCCAGGCTCCGTCCCCGTGGATGCTGAAGTTTAGGCCCTGGTAAAAAGGATAGCACGCAGGTTTTAGCATCTATGGCAAAAATTTGGTTTCCATCGTGCACGTGCTGGTGTAATATACCAATTTCGATATATTAAAATTCAGCCTAACACATTAGACCTTAGTGCGAGGCTCTGGGGAATAACTACAGAATTTGTGGGGTTTATTCCCCAGAACCTCGTGCTGAGGTCCATTGCTGAATTTTAATATCTCAAAATTGGTCCATTGCTTTAGACTCTTTCCATAATATACAACATGACGAACATGCAGTGGGCGCCCGTTTCGAATGAAATTGGGGTATACTTGGCTTAGAGAGCGTATGAAATGACAAGCCTGTCAGACGGTAACAGATCAGAATGGACGGTGTCTGCCTTAATTATGTTCTGTCAATTGCTTTCCTCCCCTCCACCAAGAGACCATGATCCACCTCATTTTCTCTTGCCTCCACTCTATATTGTTGTTGTGCAGGCTGTGCACATTTATGAATTTCATTTAATTGTTCTCTCCAATCTACATATTTTGAGGAGAGAAAATAGATAGCGCTGATCGCCAGCATATGGCTGTGCTTCCATAGCAAGAGTCGGACACAGGGTGATCCTCAATCGACTCCTATGGATATAATAGACTAATGAAAAAAAAAAAAGAGAAACTGAGAAAGGAAATTCCTTTATAATCAAATATAGTTAATGAGTGGAAACAAAGCCCAAATCAGTATACGTTCTGACACACGTTGTAAAAAAGACATACCTTAGTTCTAAACTGTTTTCGTAATTCCAAAATTTCCGTCAGCGGATCCACTGCACTTTCCTCAGTTGTTCCCATGACAGATACCACTGTTATTACTGGGATTTCATTTTCTAGCTTTTCCTTCAGAATACGTTCTAGTTCTAAGAAATAACGAAAGGTAAGGCAAAATGAAATTCAATCAAACAATACACGTTGATTTAAAGCCCTGGCTCCAGTTGCTCGAAAGATGGATAAGGCCATTCACCGGATAAATCACTATCCAGTGGATAAATCTTTACGAAACAAACGTACCACGTTATCCACTGGATAGCGACTTATATATCCAGTGGATACCGTTATCCACCTTTCGAACAACCCGGACCAGGTTAATGAAAGTACTTTCTCGACCACCATCTAACAACATACATGTGCGAGGAAGCCGCCGCACTGGAAATGGTCACTAAATAGTCTCGCAGGATTACCTTTTGGCTCCATCCGGGCATCTTCGTCCACTGCCACCGTAACGAGGCTTTCTCGTCCTAGCCCGAGAACGGTGACTGCTTTCGTGAACGAAATGTGAGCTGTACTTGGTGCTATGACACAAGGGCTCTGCGTCAGCATATGTCGACGGGCAAACTCTTGCGCTCCAACGGATTCGTAAAGATACGAGCCCATGATTCCCATAAACTCTTGATGCTCGAGGCCTGTCAAAGTTTGTACTTCCTCAGGCATCTTTAGAATAGTATCCACATCAAGGTTGAGAAGCTCCCATTGAGACGCACTCATGACTTCTGCTTCTCCTACTTTTTGCGGGAAGTGAACCTAATCAGAAAGGAGAAAGGTACAGTTAGCAAAAAAAAGTTAAGAACAAGTGAAGAGCATCCGACACTACTAAATTGCGCACTACATGTAGTCTTTGTGGCCTCGCGTGAGGACACAAAGCAACCTGTTTAAAATGAAAGCCGCCTCGTTGCTGCCACTAAAGACCTTAGAAACATGACGATAAAATGCTTTGGTCTCCAGCCTAGTGATTTTTAATGAAAAAATAAAAAAAAAAATTCTACAGGGTGTTCCATTCACCTCTAAGGCTGGTAAATATAGAATTAATTATATATACATTCAAAATTTATCTATAGCATGGATTAAATTATCGCTAGAAATCTAAAAATACATTATAAAACTAAAACTACAATTTAAATGTGATAAAAAATCATGATGTGAATGATGTGATTTTCTGTAAATCCCTTTACCTTGTAACCTCTGGCAGCAGCAAGCCTCTCCTCTTTAATCAAAGCTTCTTGCAATCCGAGTGGAAAGTACTTAACATTTCTTCCCGCCCAAATTGCTTCAATGTTAGCGACTGATCCACCAGCCGTCAAATGTCCCATAGCTTGATGTCCATCATATCCCATCATGACACACAAATCGTTCCCAACTTCCACCTCGAACTTCGTGGTAACTGTAGATGCTTCTGCTGCGCAGTTGTTTTGATTGAACAACATGGCAGACATGTAACCGAGGTTGGCCGGCATGGCTGTTTCCCAAAGAACGTGACCCTAAAAATGAAAGTAGATTTAATCAATTCCTTTTCAATGAAAAAAAAACTCTTGCCTCACGTCACCATCTTGCGAAACAAACGATCAGTTCAGTAGCTTGTACTGGTCTTGGTAACTTACATTAACAAGACTGTTCAATTGAATTTTCCAACCTAATACCAATCTAACACTGATGCCTTGCATAATATGATGGTCGAGTCTCATTATGTTTTGTAAATTGGCTGCCTTGCACTAAAAAAATAACACATTAAGATTAAACAGGCACGGGCAATGAGGATCACAGCCTGCGAGAGCATTCGGTTTTCCACCTCTTGATTTGGGTAAAACAGGAGCAAAAAACTGTCATAAAATGTGTCATGTAGTTCAGGTTTTCTTTTCGTAAATTTCAAACACCTGAGGCACCGTTAAAGTTACACAAGACCCAAATAAATAAATAAATGAATAATTTTATTTAAGTATCAAATGTATTTAGCACTGATGAGCTAATCGGGGACACTAAATAAAAAACAAATATTTCAGATAGAACATAAACTACACAAACTATTAAGAATCCCAACTGGTGGGAGGCTGACGAGCTGCTTATTTACACAGCGTGCTACCGAAAACAAATCCATACAGCGGTAGGGAGGGGGATTTGAACCAGGGACCTCCAGATTTCAAATCTAGCGCCCTAAACCACTCGGCCACGCGGCCTTACCCAAGAGAGTAGAACGCGTCACTGACTTACTAGCATCTCGTAACTTAACCAAACTCAAAATATAACATAAAACAGCTAGCTCCATAAATATGGTTCTTGTTGCAGTTCTGTTAAGCTCACCTTGTATCTTGAGCTGAAAAATGGCACGGAGTTCTGCAATTCCGTTTGCAAGCTGTCCATCTCTGATCTCAATTTTTGCATTGCGTTTTGGAAAGATCCGGCTTCCCGAAGCTCATCCGTAACATAAGGGGGGTCAAAGGGGAAATAGCTGAAAATTAACAGACGTGGTTGATTAAGGCCTTATTAACACACATGCGTAATCTGCTAATGGTAACTTGGACTATTATTAACTTGATTTGTATTGGATAGCTGCTTACCAATTGAGAGTTTTACAAAACGGCTATGTATGAGTAAATCTCACGCTGCTGAGATTGCAAAATCATGGCGATAAGCCGATCAAACGTGTAGCCTGGATTTGTTAAAACACTTAAGATAATTAGAAATAAATTGTGGACTGTTCCAAGGAGGCAAAGCAGTTAAAAAAGAAGCAAGGGGAATGGACTGATGGCGAGGGTGGAGGGGACGTTCGTTAACATGTTTTGTGTGGTCACACCCAACTTAAACTCACGACTTCGCGTTGCAAGGGAGACTTGACTCTTGGAAGTAAACCGGTAGTGTTGCGATATAATGCCACTGCCGACCGTTGAGAGTTATTTGAGCTTTATAAGTCGTTTATATAGGTCGCAATTATGTGGAATTCAATCGTTTAATAAAGGTTAGGATACATTTATTTGTCCCACTTTTAATGAAATAAATTGAAAATATATACTTACCTTACCTGTAATCTGCTCGCCTATTGATCTGTCTTACGAACGGAAAGGCAAAACCCACCAAAAAAGGGAAATGGCTCAAAAGGGTACCAGAAAACAACACCGATTACTTCGGAGAGTTACGTGCTTTCCGTGTTGCTCAACCCGAGATTTAAATCAATTCGCAAGTGCTACATAGGTAAGCCATAAATTAGACTTAAATTGACAAATTATGTGACAAATTCACCAATGAGCTGAGTAAGCCTATGACGGGTTAAGTAACTCACTTATGGCGAAATCCAACATGTTTATCGACAGCTTGCGTCAAAAGGTCTCGAAACACGTCTCCATTTTCTGCCTTGGGTCCCAGAAACCAAGCTCCAAGGGCAGCCCACTGTTTGTGTTTGTCCTGTGCACGACGTCCTCGGTGTGGTGTGTACATGGGAGCCTTGGATAAGCGAGGTCTTTTTCCTCCCGCAACAGCGGATTCTTCAGCAGTTCTCTTTTGGCGCCTAAACATGACTGCGACTGTTAGCTAGAGAGGTCCGAGGAAAGACAAGTTATCTGGTGAAAACCAAGTTAAAACTAGGGAGAGTTGAAAAGGAAATTTAAAACATTTTATTCGCCATTTCCACATCCCTCATAATACACCTTGTTCAGCTCCCAGAATTTTGCATAAACATTGTCTTCAGTTTCCATTGGGACGACTGTTATACCCAGGAGAAATGGGAAACAAAGGTTACGCCGAATTTTGGGGGGAAAACAAGGCGTATTATGGGGGATGTGGAAATGACTAATTGCAATACAAATATTGATAGAATGCGATAATACACTGTAATGCACGCACTAATGAATATAGCGTATTGATTTAAATCTAATGCTAAATTTTGAAATAGAATGGTGAGTATAGTTAATCAAATGATTTCGAGTGCAATTTGGAATAAATAAATACGTCAAGTAAACTTTTCAAAAACTAAGAATATAATTGTAGTCTTTGAAAAATTTTACGAGATCTCAATTGTTCCAAATTGCATGAGAAACATATTTCGATTGGCTTGTTGATATACATGCAATTTCATTTCATTTTTCTGCACTCAATCAGTCATCTTTTTTCAACTTTCTGCACTGTTTGGGATTAATTAACGTGCTCTCAGTCAATCAGCACATTGAAATTTTGGCTAGACTGTAAAATACCGGGCCACTCATTTGCATCTCACTGAATTTGAAGCGTAGAGGGATGTTAATACAAAAGTGGCCCGGTATTGCAAAATCGCTCCGAAATTATTCATTCTTAATGAGTCTTTTGCAGTTCAAAAACGTAGGCCGTAGGGAACCTTAGCCTTCTCTTAAAAAGGGTAAAATTAAACCAGAGCAACAATAAAAAAGCGCTTTCCCTTTATATCCTTGTACTTATTGAAATACACACAAACAACATTGTACAACTTGTATATCATAATCTTAGAATTGAATCTGGGCGACACTGTACTCCTAAATTACCCGAAACTCTTAGAATTTGTCAGTACTGCTGTTCTAACTAAATTGAGAATGAAATGCATCTCTTATTTCATTGTGACCGATACAATGATATTAGACAACAAGTCACATATGACATCATCAAGAAATATCCAAAATTTGATTCCTTTAATAACACAGAGAAAACAATATTTCTATTTAACAATGCTGATACTTTTATTTGTAAAAAACTAGGTTACTTTACATATGAAGCACTACAAATAAGAGAACTTTGTAACCCTAGAACTTAAAATGAAGAATCTTGTAACTAACTATTTTTTATTTTTCTTTCTGGTTGCTGTTGTAATTTGTTTCGTTTTTTTGAATTTTTATTTAGCGCTTCTGCATTTAGGTAACACCATCTATATGGGAATACCAATAAATTGTTGTTGTTGCATGCACTGGTGATTATGAACAACGAAGCCTTTCAGCCAAGCAGTCACAGTCTGTTGATTCCTTATCACTCGAGAGCAATTATACAAATATGTTTGACGTGTATTAAACAGTTGGAACAAGGTTTCTGCATGAACTATTAGTGCATAAACGAGTTACGAAACTAAATGGCGGCAATGCATGCGAAAGCTATAACTTACAGTTCACGAAACGTGAAATGGTCCAATGCTCACCGAAATGTGATCATTTTTTCTTCTCCCCGTCAACTAGACTGATAATTTTAAGGGTCAAAGATGCGGTGGCTGAAATTCAATCCTCAGCCGACACAACGAAAGCTTTGGCAAGTCAAACATCAACAGCGAAGAAATTTCTGACGAAGGAGGCGCCGCTGAAGACAGTTTGTGCTATTAATATCACAGCACGAAGACAATAATCCTGTAACATGAAGACTACGAAACTAAGCTAGAAAAGTTTCTTACCTGAAATACTACTAGCTTGAGCTTGGAGCGTTGCAAAGCTGTACTGCACTGGTCGGGAACAAGACGTGAGTGTGCAACAATGACTTAAGGAGTGGCTGACCTTTCTGAACATTGGGCCAATAGGTACGCTCTGCTTATTTTCTGCGCTATTGAAAGGAAATGCTAATTAATATAAATTAAACCCAGACATAAGCCACCTCAAAGGTTTACACAACTTATGTTTCATATGCATATGCAAGATCAGGTGGCATTAATGAAACCACGGAAACGTCACGTACCTTGTGTGAAATGAAATACAAAAAAAGAACCTAAACAATACAATCTTATCATCGCAATTGTATTGGAACGCAGATTATCTGGGCTTCCGAAGGTCCTATTTGTGAGCTGGCTGCATTAACGCGAGTTCGCAAGGTGATTTTATATATGGGCCTTTCACGGGTTCTCGACCTGCTGCACCAGTTTTAATTAAGTCATATTTACATGGTTGTAAAGCAGAAAGTTTCAAATTTTTCCATACGGCGATTAAAGTGCTAATTAATGCATAAGTCTCTCACTTCTGTCTTTCCCCCGCCCCAATTACAATTTTGATTCTGTGCTGTCTGTGTGACTTGAATTCTCTCAAATCGCAATAGGCAGTTACTTTTCTGCGGATTGTGAACATTTTACCTCTTGTAAGGCAAATTCAACCGTATAAAACGGAGAGTGTAAAGGTTCCTTCATAACAATTGCTCTCGCTCGCTCTCGCTGCTTGAGCCCCCAAGTCCCTTCAACAGTCGAACCACCGTTAGAGCTCGGCGCCAATTTTCGCTCGGAAAGATTGGGTTCCAGACTTTAATTTCTTTTCCCTCTTTTCAAAGAGGATAGATACTGCTCTCGACGACTACACAACCACTGCCGACAACCACAGTGAACAAACTGTCTAGGAGGTTCAAGTACAAATTCTTTGGCATAGGTAATTGATTGGGGGTATTTAGTAAAGATTTTAAGAAGACACTTTGCTATCTCTTGTAAAATTTAAAGTTTGCAGTCGATAGCAAACGAAATACCTTCAACGTCTTTACGTTGACCATCATTAATCAATAACAAAGAAAGCCAAAAAAGAGATTATTACAACACAATACCAAACACCATTTTACATTTGAGTGCCGAAAAGCTATTAGTTATGCATTCAAAACGATTGGCTGGGAAAACTGACGCCACTTTTTCATCCAATCAGGAAGTCAAATCAAATAAAACAATCCGAACTGTTTTGTAATTGCCTTGCTTGCTTGCTTTTTCATTTTAAGTTGCATACAAAAAGCCTTTTTGTATAGCCTGGCTTGATGCCGAAAAGATGAAGCAAGGGCGTAATCAGTCAATGGCACCTATCTTCTCATTGTGTAATTAAAACGACTAAGATGCATATATTTACCAAAAAAAGGAAGAAAAATCGCACGATATAGGTGCTCTCGCAAAGTGATAGGGCGAGCTCTGCGTTCAAAACAAATTTGCCGACCCGTGTTTATTTAAAACTGGTTTAGTATTCTCAACAGCATTCGTTGTGTTCCTTTAAAGTCAACAGTGTAAATCTTATTGGCGTGAGAAAAATATTAAGTGGTCCAATTCTCAGCAGGCAAAGATGCAGTCAATCAGGCTTTTTTGTGAGTATTTGGCAGCGTGAGACCTTGCCCTTAGCCAAGATGGATTATGAACAATGCCTGCGAGTGGTGTCAGTAAAATATGCTAATAACCCTAACCTATTTATTTAAACCCTTGTCTCAATGTTGTTTTAAAGAAACTGCTACTTACAGTAGTCAGTCGGCTGCAGACTGTCGTCAAGGCTGTGCTGTGCATAGGTCGCAAGTAAGTAGGAGAGCCATAAACTTAATTTTAGCGTTACTCAGTCAAATCAAACTTCAATTAGATTTACAGTCAGCAAATGAAGAATTTTAAGGGGGTACTCCCTCATACATTTTATATAGGTATGTCTGGTGCCAAAGGGTATGAATTTGAGCTGTTGCCGGTCTGAAATAGAGTATAGATTTTGACTATTTGGTCTGTATTCTGCCCTGTTATTTACATGTTAATTTTCTAATTGCATGTAAAATCGAACAATTTGAAAGCCTTCCCTCCCAAGCGTTTACACAAAGTAAGCCATTCCAGGTTAGCTGAGGCCACGAAATAGATACCTGTAAGATAATTTTAGAGGTCTGAGACGTAAGGCTATCGAGTTTTCGATCACGTCCGAATCGTGGTGTGGCTTTTGCCTACCTATTTCTTTCGTATCTTCTTCCCTTATACATATATAAGAATATATTTTATATAGGAATATATTTTATAAGAATATCGACGCTGACATTTTAGGAGCATTTCAGTAACAAACCCGAAGCTGAGATTTTGAAAGGAATATCATTTGGTGTTGAAGATTTGTAAATACAATAATATGATTTAAACTAAACCGTATAAAATATTTTCCTGTATGTCAATGGCAAAACTGGCGAAAATTGAAACAACAAAATAGCAAGAGGCGTGTGTTCGATGCTAATAAGCAATATGTTTATAAAAGAGTGTACTCATACAAGGGAGAGGGCGAGCGCCCAAATTCGCATCCTTGAAATAGTCCTTTTCTTGTCACAGTATTATTGCATTTTGATGTAAGCCAGGCAATGAAATGAAGGTTTGAAGATCATGTCGTTATAAATAGTAAAGATAAAGATCTAGAAAATTCTTAATTTTACAATGGTTTGTTTGCTCGAAGAAGTGCAATTATGCACGTCTTTCAGGTGTCGATGTCTTTTCTTCACAGACCTGGGGCGGCCTACAAAAATAATCTATTTTTCTAAAAATACCGTATCACAAAGGTGTGACAAAAGCGAGTCAATATTGAAAGCGTTAATTAAGCAACTTTGGGATACTTTGCAAACATCTGAGAGAAGCTGATATTTTTCCCACCTGAACAGTCACCGGCCCTTCGAACCGATGATCTACTTGGGAACGGCACAAGCTTTATCTGACACCTAGATAGAATGGCAATGAATATGAAACAAGGCTGATACTACGTAAAAAAAAAAACTTAACTTATTATAGAGTCCAAACTGAAATGGCAAGATGCAACCGTGGACAGCTGTTTTGCCCTGGTTGGGCATCGTCAGCAGGGTATAACAGCGAAAAATAGAGCAACCAGCAACCAACTCAAATCCAAATGTTTGCGGATTGGTCATCGTCACATGCATGCACAACACGTGACTGTGAACTATTCATGCACACTCTTGATGAGACCAGAAAGCGAAACGACGACCATCCCTGACCATTTCACATGGGTGTTCCGCAAGGGGCCCAACCCACCGTGCGTATCAAGTTGCTCAATTTTCGCTTTTGAACCACAGAGCATTGTCTAAAGTTCGAAAGAACCAGACACTGAGCCTTATGGAAAGCAAGTGAAGCTTAGCCTGTTTCAGGCTCTCGGTCAGTGGGGACGATCGAAAAGGCAGACGGGTGACAAGCGGCGTCTGCTATAGATAAAGGAGAGGTCAACCTGCTCGTCGCTGATCCCGCTTGTCGCCCGCCCGCCCTCTTTTTCGATCTTCCCCACTGATCGAGAGCCTGGAACACGCTAGTGAAGCTGAACTTGTCGACCAATGAATATTTTGTAACGAATCATAAATATCTCAGCTAGTTAAGTGATTTTTTTTTGTGGCGCAGCTCAAGTTCCTTAAAGCATGCAAATATCTACTGGTGGCAATGCATCTGTTGTCAATCTTACACCCATTTTTGACTAGCAGATTTGCCTATGTCTAATTAGTAAAATGGCGTCTCGACCGTGTTTGTCATTCCTTCTTTCAAGTGAAATATGAAAAAGAAGTGAAAGAGAGACGAGGGCATAGGATAACATTTCATCTATCTTCAAGATGTAACAGAATGTCCCAAGACCTAACGGTGATTAGGAAATATAGGCAAAGCATGCAGCCCATGGTTTGCAGGATTTGGTAGTCATTGCAACGGGACGAACGTGTGGGAATGCTTTTTACTCATAGATGCCATTATTGAAAAAACTGCGCATAAATTTTACTGGGGTTAAAAAGTTGATATCAAAACATCTGACGCCATTCTTCGCAAGCACTTAACGAAAGAGCTTTGTCATCGCACTTGCAGCCTTTAAAAGATACAAGGAAAAGGTACAAATTCTGCACAGTATTATGCGATTGTCTTATTTCATATTTTGATTTCTATCACGACAAGAGAACGAATTCAGCTGCACGTTTTATTTGTTGCCGCTTCGCCGTTTAAGCTCGAGTTTCTCAACTTGTTATCGTAGATTTTCCGCTTATTATAAAAAATGTCAATTCTCATTTCAATAGTATTAGCTATATAACCACTTAAGACAGCTCGTTTTTGAAAATCAACTACATGGCTACTGATATCTTGCGCATTGCATTTTTTTGTATACTCTGCTTACACAGTTGTTTATAATATACGCACTCGTTTTTCGGATTTTAAAATACGGTTTTTGAAAACCAACAGCTGGGCGATCGATCGCCGACACACCTACACTAAACAAAAAGGTGTTTTAAACCATCCTAAGCTGAGACCTGAGATAATGAGATAAATAGGAAGCGGAAACCGTCAACACTACACACAAAACGAATATTGCAGTGCTAATCTCAGTGCTAACCAGTTTAGAGCGCAAGCATACGCTGTTTCGTCTCTCACGGCTTCGTCTGCTCACAAGCTAATTAAACCATATAAAAAAACCAAAACAAAATACAAACTCAAAACTGTTAAGGTAGAGAAATTTCAAAGCGTCACCTTGTGAAAAATCACTAGGCTTAGCCTCTATTTAGTGTGAAAACTATTAATTGGTTCGCGCGACTGTTCATAGGTACGGATGCTAAGCGCGCGGAAACTAAACTCGCGCGCGCCGTTTACCTGGAATGAAAAAAGAGAAAGCATTCAATTTTTATTTTTATTAGACATTTAAGCGTCACGCATCAACCGGAAAGAATTTATTTTGTTTTGCTTATCCTAAACATTTTAAAAGACCTTATTTTCTATCAGACTGCTTTCTCATTTACAACCCGGTTGCAAATTATAAATGAGGATAGTGGCAAGTGATCCACCAGAGTTCTAGCGTCCTTTCCTTAGAAAAAATAATGGTAATTGACGAGACTGAATATCTCCCTCTTAACTTTAAAAGAGAATAACAAAAGTTTCGGAGAACCTCACACGTTTCAATTCGCTGCGACAATGTTAGTGTAGTGTTTCCTTCACCTGCTACAGTAAAAAAGAGGTTGACACATCATGTCGACATAATTTCGAGCACAACAGTGAAGGTGGAGCATCATGGTACCAACATAATAGAACCATTTTGACAGCATAACAATGTCATTTTGCGATCAAACAATAATATTATATCTTTGATGTTTTATATCAATTTCAGCTCCAAGCGTCCATTTATGTAGTTAACTTTGTTACATTTCAAATCAATTTTAAGTTTGCACAATTTCCGTCACTACTGGTTACATTTGACTCGTCACAAGTATTTTATATAATATTCCAACTTTTATCTTGGGGATAATATTTACAGTGGAACTGATTTATAGTGCATTTCTATGCGGAAGTGTTTGCTCAGTTAGATTATTTTATCAGTTGTTTACACTTTTGTATAAATAATATGCTATGAAAATACGTTATTTTGTTTCGTGGAAAGACAATAACATTATAAGGGGATGTTTCTTAAAACACCTTGCAAAAAGAATTGCAGAACTTCGAGCCTGTTTTCGGCATACCGAGTGTAATAAGCAAAGTGACGAGCATAATTAGGTGCACATTAGTCTGTTTTGGGGGCGATGCTATCAAGCGTAATGCTTGATGTTTAGGAGGATAATGTAAAACTTCTAACTGTATTGTGTTAGGTAAGCCTATACTCTTCGTCCTTTTTTAAAGGAGGGCCCTTTCAGACCACGCAATAAGTTCTCCATGACTGTGCATGACGCTTTTTATTAAAACGTCAAAAATTCAGGTTCTCTATGGTTACGGCATATAGGCTGTAAAACATTCTTTCCTTATCAAACAATTGTTGGAAAATTTCATTATCGAATAATAAGTGAAGTGTCTCCTGATAGATACGCAACAAACGTAAAAATTAAACAAAAAAATATAGATAAAATAGCCTTTTAATTAAGCCAGGCTTAAAATTGTGTAATACACGTTTTACACAATTTATTCAAGATATAAAAAACATTTTCCAGCCGTATTTCTATCAATTTTTTAGACGCGCGAGTGGACGTTTGGGAGATTAACAGGAACCACAGCTTTCTCGAGTTCTCCAAACTTTTCAAGATTGTGTTTCTACAATTCGATAGAAACACGGAGAAAATGTTTTATGTTTCATTAAAAAAAAAACTCCGCGAGAAAATAAAGAAAGAAAAATTGATTATCAAAATGTCCCCTCATCAGGTCAACAGATCGTACCGGTTCTGTGTTACTAGAAGGGTTGTGATTTAACCAACGGTTTCAAACCGTGCTCTGTAATATCCCTTTATACATATTTGCGGTCGCAATCGATAACAAAAACACGGCAATGATGATAAGTAAGGATTTTACTAAATTACAATTTCATAGAAAGAAAATATTTACCCAATGATTGTCCTCAAAGTTTGCTGTGTCTCACGATCAAAAGAGAAATTAAGCAACTGTCCAGATCTGTTCAGAGCGTCTGTTGGTCTCAGAACTTGCTCAAGCTAAATATGTAATGTCAGCGTTCAATTCCAAATAAATATGCGACAAATTAGCGGCCGTCGTTCGCCATCTCCAAATTGCGCAGAACTTAGGCATTTCACGCTGTTGTTGTGGAGAGAACGGCAAAGAAATGTACAAAGACTTACAACGCATGTGCACAGCCATTGTTCTACTTATTAAATTACACGGCTTTAGTTCGGTGACGTTCTCGTTGCCGTATCTTCGTTTGCTTAAGTTCTCTAATTGGAGATAGTGTCGTGTTGTGATTGCTCAATCATAGCTTGTTGACGATTGCTGTGTTTTCACGCGTATTTAATTAATCTATAGTGAAACAAGGAGAACGCCTGTCATCGCGTTCCTTCTTACATGGTGTTTTCCCGATTTGTGTTCTAGATCGTTACTCCGGGAGCCAAGATGTTTACTCCTCGCAAGAAAAGCAACCGAACAGGGAAAAAGCAGCCTCGCAAAGGAAAAGCGCGCATGTACGACCATAGACGCCACATTTTTTCCAAGCGTGCGCTTCAAGATGACGTAGCAAAGCCCTGGGCCGCTGTGGGGACCTGGTTTTTGGGTCCTAAAGCTGAGAATGCTGATGTGTTTACAGATCTAATGACAGAAGCCATTAACTCGCATTTTAACTTCCGGAAGGGGTAATTGATTGAGCGGATTCTAGTGAATTAGAATTGTTTTTAAACTATCAATTATCATCTGAATCATGCACCTGATTAAAAAAATAGACATTTTATGCGATGCTACATCGGTCGGTAAACCGTCATTGAATTTGAAGTTTCTTTCAAAACCATGAAAGCCTGGGCCTGTTCATTGTTCGTAGAGCAAGCAACTGTTCAGTTTGTATTTTCTCTATGTCTTTCCGATCGGCTCAACCATAAAAAAGCGACTCGATAATAAATGATATGATGAAGATCATGATAACCAAGAAAAGCTAACAATTAATATTTACTTTGCAGTTATTACCCATGTGACCCTCCCTATGTAACGGATGAGTTACGGGATGCAAAGTCTTTCCAAATATCGCTTTCGAAGATGAAAACAGAACTGGATAAGATGCAAGAAGAACTGCAAAAGTCTGTCCCTTTCTTTAGCACGCGATACAAGGTTGGTTACCAAAGACCTAGAAGATTCTTGTTATTTAGATATGTAGGACGCCGGATGTGCTTTGACTTCCAAAACATAAGTGAATCTAGGAGGGGTCAGCTTAAAGGCTAATCACAATTAGTATAAATCTACTACTGTTCTATCACGAATGTCGTTTGCTCATTGGCTACGCTACTCACTATCTACTCTGTTGTAGATGGGGAGTAGCGTAGCAGTGTGCGCTTGTTAACGCAGTCTGTGGCGGCCACTTCTTTGCGTTTTCGAAGTGTCTGCGAAGAGGATTCAGATTAAGTACTGAACGACTGGTAGATTTATACTAAAGCAATTAGGTTATTTGCTATCGATTTCTATGCATAATATAAATAGCTGACTCGAACTACGCCCTCGTCAACTATCACGCGATAGAAATTTTGAAGTCATAATCTAATTGTTTTTTATAAATAGTGAAAATGGCAGATATGGGCATCTGCAGGATTATTGATTATTCTGACCTGACAGGCAATAATTTAACATTTGGACATCATGTCAAGCTATATAGTTATAGCTAACTGTTTTCATATTAAGCATCATTATAGCATTAATCCTCTCTCTCGTGATAACTTAGTGTGATGTAGTAGGTATTACTTATTGATTTTCTGTTACCAAATTCTGCCATTCTCCGGATGGAGAGGTCCGCTTACGAACCGTGGCTGAGAGGTCATTCTGTTGTGTTCTTTGAGGCAAAAGACGTCTTGTACCGCCTACACTGTAAGGTCAATCTGACAAAACGTTTGTAAGATTGTTTACTAGCAATGGACTACGAAGGCTTGCAGATAGATTTTACCTTACTTTAGTTCTATCTGCATGTATACCCCAGTGGAGGGGTGTTCTCCCTATAATGGTCTATACAGGAAGACTCGGCCAAAAAGTGGTACCTTTTTCAGGCTTGAGGTGTATAAAAGGGAAGGGATATCACAAGTTCAGGTAAATGAAAGGTTAGGAAATCTGTCGTTTAGTAGTTTAAAGGGATCTTTAATTAAAACATTTCGAACGGGCGGACCTTATGGATGTAACATTTGAATTATAAAAGCACTACGTGAAAATGACAAGAAGATTACCTTTTTTGGCGATATATTCATAATACATGCCGGTTATGAAAGCATTGGAAAAGGGTACCTTTTTTCAGTTAAAGGTCTAAGAAAGGGGCACCTTTTTTCAATTAAAGTTCTACGAAAGGGGCACCTTTTTCGCCTAAATGGTATACAAAAGGGTAAGGGGGTGGACCTCGGGGCGGTGTCTCCCCTTATAAAACTTTGTTAGAGTAACTCCCCTTCCCCCCGATGTACATATCAGTTTTGAAATCGGGCATCTAAAAATATCATTTTATTCTATTGATATTTTCTAGGGCCATGTCAACTGGGACACTGCAGTTCCAGCGAATCTTGGCTACATAGCTTCGATACTATGGAACCAGAACAACTGTGCAGCTGAGGGATCGCCAGTAACGACCACGTACGAAATCGAGGCAGGTGGAGACTTGTGTGAAATGATAGGCTTGAAGAGAGAAGACAGCATGGGACATTTAGTGACAGGTGGAACAGTTGCAAACATTGAAGCAATATGGGTGGCAAGGAATCTCAAATACTACCCATTGGGACTTCAAGAAGCTTTGCTCAAAGATGATCAATTATCAAAAGCAAGTGGATACCAGGTAGATAGAAGTGAAAACAAATTTGTTCATTTATTTCTTCATTTAAATGCCCATTAAAAGCCATAGGCGAACTTGTGACCTCTGCAGATCATAATGATAATATTCAATTAGTAAAATCCATGTTATCTTGCTTTGATCTACGCAATATTCTTCTTTTATTAGAATCAAACTGATGCAACTTGATTGCTATTTCATTACCTTGTTATATGTTCACGGAAATCATTACTTTTTTAGTGTCAGTTTACAAATCTTTACCAACACTGTATGTCTTTATGATCATGCAAATAAAGCTAGTTGTATAGTGAATGGTTTGAACCCAGGAGTATCAGTAGTTCGTATAGTGTGATCGTCCGGGTGAGTGTAGTTCNAGTCTGGTCCGTTGAATGTGATTGGTCAGTATAGCCATGATGGTATTGGCTGAAAGACTCGTGTAAAGTTTGTCATCAGTCATTGGTGGGTTTCGATCCGTCTATTGTTAGTCAAATAGGAATGGTAGTCAAATTTTTCTTCCTTTTTTTTTGCAGTATTATTATATTTTTTACAGTAGTTCTTATCCAACATTTCGTCAACCGTAGGTACACCTACCTCAAAGAGGAACTACCATTAAATTGGTGGACGCAACACAATGGGAACTCCTCAACCTTGATGCTGACAGTATCATCAAGATGCCATTCGAAGTGGCAGACCAGGCTGGTCTTACACCGGGAGAGTTTCGAAACATTATGGACAATTACATCTACGAGTCCATTGGTGTTCAAGAGTTCTGCCGCCGCCACCAGCTGACCAAATCGCCGTGTGTTCTAGCTGCCAGTACACACCATGTCTCTTTGGTGAAGGCAGTCAACATCGTAGGTTTGGGGAAAGGAAGTCTCGTCACTGTTCCCGTTGACGTAAAAGCGCGCATGGACTCTAAGAGTAAGTGAAGTGGGATTTTATCAACATGGTGACTACAAAGAAAAGCATTCATGTTTCTTCAATCTAAGTACCCCTCAGCCATATTTTTCTCTGGTATACTTAACCAATATGCTGTTGCACAAAAATACAGGACAGAAAAAACTATATAGAAACCTGTGGTGCTGCAGTGGTACATGCAGTGAAACCGGTTAACCTTTAAGAGGCTGTCTCTGTAAGAACCGACCACTGATTTTACTTCGAAAATTCGATTATTCTCATAAGTTGGGATTTCAAAGCCCTTACCTAGTCAATTACTAAAATGAGTTTTGTTTCATTAAAAATTCCAATTGAACTTTTCTAGGATTGATTAAAGTTCGATCCGCTCGACACAAGTTTCATGCCCGCCGAAACTGGAAAAATAGCACATATTGCCGGCGCTCTAAAAAAAATAATATTCGCTCAAAAGTCCCAATTCT